CTGAAAATGTTAAAATAGAATGCAGTGAGTGGACAGCTCAACGGCATTTTTGACATGTTTTTTAAGCTGATTAAACTTACCATGTACACTGGATAATCGGTTTCCATCTTAAGCAGATTACAACATCTCTCACATAAAAACCCATTAAACAAGTTGCCTTATAAACACTTTTCCTTTTCTCAATAAAAATTACTTTGACTCGTTTGACTGCAAGGAAGTTGACGTCATTAATGTGCTAAAAATGTTTTCATAATATCACCTCTCCTAAACTTATTAGGACATTTAGATCTCATAACTGAATTATAGTATAAGAAATAATAGCAATACTAACAACAACATGAAAATAGAGAAAAATATCAAATAAAACGTTTTTACCTATTGGCAAGCAGTATTGAAGAGATCACAAATCCAAAGTTGATGCACAATATCTTGGTACCTGATTTCTCACTTATCATAGCATAAAGTCTAACAATAAGGGTCAGATTTGTCCAACAAGTGTAATAAATAGCGTTCTATCCCATACCGTTGACAAATAGGCATAAAGGTCTTAGTATGGTCCAAAGTTTTCCTTAATCCAATACATGCCAGTTAGCAATTAATGTGAGGTAGAACAAGTCATGCATACGAGGAAAAGTATCTGCTGCTTGTGCAACTCAAACCCTCACAATGTTAAAGAACCCCTACCTTGACTACATTCCAACAAGATTATGTCCAGCCATTGCTAACATGCAAATCAATGTTATAGGCACCAATAGAAGAAAAATTGGCCCAATGATACCATGCTAGCAAATATTCCAGAACGTCTATCTACATCTACATCTATACTGATGTAAATGAGCCATTGGCAGGTTAAGATATACATATCAAATATATAAATTTTAATTTATCAAACTGCTTTCTATCCCCATTGTGATAAGTAGAGAGCAAGGAAGCTACTGAGCACTGCCTAAACGACTTTTGAATACATAGTTTGGTATTTGGCAATTGGAATAGTTAACAGCATTGCAACAAGAAATGGGATTTTGAGCCTTAGTTCTGAGCTGAGGCATTTCAACAGCAATGACTTAATTAAATGTGGAGAAGTAAACCACCAAGGGGGAAGAAACTAAGAGATAAAGTGGTATTATATTACTCAGATAAGATAAACAAAATCATTCTGCAACCAAAGGACCAGAAGCAAACATAACTTTACATCTTAAGTTGGATATCCTGTACATCAAAAGAGGCAAGAATTCAGAAACGATAAATTTCTTAACCAAACAAAAGGCGGCGTCTTACAGCCTTGGACAGGTTAGGACCTGACACTTTCCTCTTTTGTTTTGATGACTCATCACCCAGATTATAGGAAAGCTTCTCTAAGTCTTCTCCTGGTTTTGCCTGAGACTGTATTTTGGTTGAGCGGTAAAATTCAGTAATACTTAGTTGAACACCTTGTGGTTTTGACAATTCTGACATTTCACTGGACCCTTCAGATCTTATCATTGAAGTCTTTCTTCTTTTCATTTCTTTTAGTTCCTGCCAGAAATTTAGCACAGGAAAAAGAAATCATGCAGCAGCTTTAGAGGCCATTTCATTTCCAACATCCTCATATAACAATAGGTAATGACAACCACAAACTGTTTTGTTAAAAGTTGAAATAATTTGTTGATCTATCAAATTTATTAAATCTGAATAACAAAGTACAAGTAGAGAAACCCAATTGTTGGAAAGGGACCTCCTTATCAAATTAAGCCACACGTGACCTTGACATTAGACTTATATTTCAACCAAAACTAACATAATTCCCACAATGCAGCTCTCAACCTTTCATCTTAGCAGGCTATCAATAATCCTTTTATGGGTAACAACATTAATTTCCAACAGATGAATCTGAATCTAATTTCATTGTTTTTACATTGCCATTAATAGGGATGAGTAAAATCAAACCAAACCAATTACCCACCCAAACCAGATGCGATTTGGATAAAATGGTTCGGTCTAATTGGTTCATTGGATCAATTGGTCCAATTGGTTTTTTGGTCGGTTCTTGGTTTTAAAATTTTTAAACCAATCCACCCAAAAACCAAAGTAATTATATATATATATATATTAATATATATAATATTATATAAATGTATTAAGAAAAATTAATAGTAAACTTAATTAATAATATACTTAAAATATATTAGTTTATTATATGTGCATATACAAATCATAATTATAGCAATTTAATTTTACTTATATATATTTATTTATTTATAAATCTGTATTAATATAAAATTACAAGTTATATATTTTAAATATATCAATATTATGATATATGATAATAAACATCCTATATATTAATATGCTATAATTATTACACTTTAATGATGTTTCGTAATATAAATTGTTATGAATATATTTAATTGTATAAACATTATATATATATTTAATTTACACATAAGTATTACTATAATTTATAATATTTTTTTTATATGATTACACTTAATAACCTTATTAATTATCACCCAAGTTTTTATACACATTGTTTATAATTAGTTATTATTTATACAAACTTTGACATAAAACATTATAACATATAAGCTGTGTCATTAATTTCATATATACATAATAAAGTAATATTATATATATATATTTAATTTATACATAAGTATTATTGTAACTTATAATAGACTTTATTTATATAATGACACTTAATAATTTTATTAGTTATCACCTTAATTTTTATAACATATTGTCTATAATTAATTATTATTTATACAAACTTTAATATAAAAATTAAAATATTATAACATATAAATTGTGTCATTAATTTCATATATATAATAAAGTAATATTATATATATATACAATATTTAATTTATACATAATTTGTATATATATTTTATAATTATGGATAAAGTTTATAAGTTTTAATATCAAAATTAGTAAAAAAAGGTGATAAAATTTTGATCCATTGATCCAAAACCAAACCTGACCAAACCAATTCTATGTTCGGTTGGTTTGGTCTTCTTTTATGTTTGATCGATTTTGGTCAGTTTTCTAAAAATGTTTGGTGCATTTGGTCCTTAGGTATGGTGGACAAAACCATCCAATCCACCTATTTGCTCATCCCTAGCCAATAATTCATTTCAATGTCAGATCACCCTAATACATTCATTTAGTTCACCTATCATGTTCCTTCCATTATGTACTATCAACTAGTCTCATGCCAGAATATGGATTACTACTATAGCCAATAAGTCTAAATATTTTGATCTCAAAACCTTTTTTCTGCTATATTTAATATTTAATTTCAAAATATTAAGTGCAAAGTCTGGCAAGGAAACATAAAGAAACAAAAAACAAAAACTCATACCTTTTTCTGTATAAACTTGACAACTTCCTCTGGAAAAGCAGAACAAACTAATGCTGGAGTTTCATCAGTCAAAATCCAGTAGCCATCAACATGAATCTGGGGGTCGATGGACTCATCCAACAGATCAACAGGCCCATCATCAACTTCAATACATTCTTCTTCTTGAATATTGGACCATTCAACAGGGACTGCACAACTAAGTTCACCTGATATGGCTTTCTTCCACTTGACCACATAAGATTGATGCCCATATCTTATCTTCACACGCTGAATGGAATGAAATTCATATTGCCCAACTAACAAAGTTTTATTTGGATTTCTAGCCATTTCTCTCAAATACATAGTAGACAGCATTGGAAGTATCCGCTGCCGAACAAAAGACCGCTGCCATGACTGATGATAAGCCAAGAAATCAACTACCAGTTCAGTTTTTGGGTCTCCCCATGCTAATAAAGAACCATCTTCTGCAACAGAAGAAAGTAAATACCTTAATATAACACCACAATCAACTCAAAAATACATATGTAAAAACAAGGGAACAATGAACTCTCTTAGATGTAGAAATGATTGCCATTGACACCTCTCCTCAACAACTTGAAGGTTGAAGAGAGTAAGGGCCTTACTACCAAAGATGAAACTAATAATGTAACATATATGCAAGACATACCAGGAAACATTCCGTGATTATTGCCCATGTACATTTCAATGATCTCGTCATTTGGGAAATTTGGTTCCATAGTAATCATGCTGCAAACTTTAATCCACCAATTCTCATGCTTCTTCTGGTCCTTCTCTTTTCTAACCTGATGTTCATACACCATGAAAAGCACTTAGCAAAGAAAGGATGAAATTCACACTACCCAAATTAGAAGTATAAAGCATTCCAGCTTCTAAAGACAAAGTACATGGTACAAAAAGCCCAAACAGCAATTTAACATAGCAATATGCTGTGAGGTAGTAATAATAGTAACAAGGGAGAAAAGACAACTAAGAAAATGAACCTTATCACAGGACAAGCAGTTACACTGAAACCTTTGTGACTTTTTCAAGCAACCCACATTATTAGCAGTAACACAATATTCACAAGAAAACTTAAAATGAGCTGCTTTGCTGCCAGGGTGCCCGCAGAAGGAACAATGAGACTGTCTTGGCTTTGGTGAGCTCTCATCTGAACAAGGTATAACATCATCCACATATGTAACTCCATCCTGAAATAACAGTACATCCCCTTTTCCTATTGCATATAATCTGCATGACACATCATGTCCAACAAATATGGTAATGATATCACCAAATACCCTTCACAACTACAGAAAGCAAATAGGTTGATGAGTTTACATGTACAAGCATACCTATTCAATATCTCATCTTCACTAAATCTTTGTACAAAACGAAGTGCCTTATCAAGCCCAATCCCTTGCACCCCATTCAGGTCATGGTCATTTCCAACCAAAAGAGAAATGGCTATCAAGTGTTTCCTCTTCAGTCCAAGACCAGCTTCAATATCTGACATATTGTAGCATTCAAAGGGTTCCTGCATATATTAACACCCCCATCCTTACCAACACTTAAACAACCAAATTGGCACATTAAAAGAACAAATAATTAGTAGAGTTAGTACAAGTAAAACTTACTTTTGAATTGGGCCTAAGACATTTAATAACACAAGTAGCCCCAAAGAGGAATGCATCGCTGTCAGCTGTAATGCAAGCATCAACATGACCATCTTTATTTAACTGAGCACACAATGCTTCAGCCTCACCGTTGGCTTTCAGCACTGGCATTCCCAATAGTTCAAGCAGCTCCTACAACAAACCACCCATTCTCAACAACCCAACTACCAACAATTGCAAATAAAAGAACACAAAACTAACTCACCACACAGTCATCAACACATTTTGAAAAAGCAGAGTTCCTCTCCTTGGAGACACCCTCTTTGACCCCAGTCGAAGTTGAAGTATCAATGCCAGAAAAACGGAAAAATCGAGCAATCCTTGCTTGAGATTTTAATGGCGAAGGAGTTCCATCCAAAACAAATACCGGAAACGCTCCAAACTACAATATTTTTTTTTTAAAAAAAAAACAACATTACAATTTTCTCACTCTGATAAATGAAATAACAAAGAAACAAAAGAAATTGAATGTACCTTAGAGAAAAGGTTAATGGTTCGGAAGAAAGTAAGTCTGAGATGAGGATTCCTCGCTCGATTCTTGATGGCAGCCTCGTGCTGGACTATCCAAAAGGAGAGATCGATAGCAACCTTCTTGTCTCTCAAGAAATCGAATCCCTCGAGTCGAGCGTAGGGTTTTAAAAGTTCCCAGAATTTGCCTCCCACCCCCATTTTATATAGCAAAAGAATTGACTCCAATTCTAAGCGGCAACATTTTCAAAGAAAAACAAGAAGAAACAAGCGGGGAAGAAGATGGAAGATGAAGAAATTGGCACCGCTACGATTGGCATTCCCGTATAAACGTCAGTTCCTCGGCTCTGCTTACCGTTGGAAGATCCTCAATGAGGTTGGCGGGGGCCCATCAGATCATGCCCATATTAGATTACAATGTAGGTGATGAAGCCCAATTTAATATGGACAGACCTAGGCCCAATCCTGTGGGACTTGGGACCAAACCAATTGCAATCCGATCATCAGGACAGCATCCAGTGAGGGGGTCCACGGATCGGAGGAACTAAGATATCGTACGTGCAAATGGGTGAAGTCAGATGGCAACATGTCTGAATTACCTAGCACGGAAGTACCAGACATTATTTTTCAAAAATTCTGAAATCAAAACTTTTCCACATAAATATCTGTTTTTGTCCGGAAAACAGTGCAACATTAAAAGCATGTAAATAGTAATCGTTGTAGTCTTGGACACCTACACCAATCCAAAAACATGTTACTTGATGGAATATTGGTCGTTTCCGATCTTATTTCTCACATAATTTAATCTGATTTTTACATAAGTTACAAACATCAAAATAAAATGTTTTAATCTCATATCAAATATGTAAAAAAAAAATTTTAAAAAATTATAAACGTGAATGTTATGTCTCTTTCAAATAATGTCATGGCACAGCTTCAGGATGCATTGGTCCTAGACTGACCAAGTGAACAAATCTCTCTTATCAGTAATTTCCGTAGGTGGAGCATCGATTTCTGAGGTCCCACGCAAACAGGATTGATCAACAATTTGAACTTTGAGACGGATCACGAGATGATTGATTTGCTGCTACGCTCCCAATGGTTTTTTTTGCATGTGATTATGGTGAAGTACGCAGCAATTTGACAGTTAAAACGAGTCTGATCACAAACCATAAACCACCAGATTTAGTCGTGTTGAGTCAAAACAACAGACTGATCACTTTCACTTCAAATCCGGACAGACCTCTCCTAATTTAATCAAATCTCACTTAATATATATTCCCTTCGTTTAAATAAGGCACAGGACAGAAACACCCACGCTTCTGCTTCTTTTGCCATTTCACTCTGTTTGTTTTAATCTTTTTTTTTTTAATTTTATTTACTACAGATTAAAACCTTGGCCTCTTAACCTGTATAACCTGATCAGCTTTCTTACCTGGAGATCTCCCCCCCTCCCCTCCTAGAAGCTACCTCTCTCTTTCTTCTTCTACTTCCCTTTCTATTTAAATTCTTTCCCTTTCACTTACTTCTCACTTTCCCCACTTCATTCTTTGCACTCTCGTATTGTTTTCTAGCTCTTTTCTCTTCTTTCGAATTCTTAAGTATATTCTTGTTCTGTTTTGATGCAATGGCTTCTTCGACCATTTCTAGACAGAGAAAGCATTTCCCATTAGAACGGAGACCTCGGATGCTAAAAGATTTCCTCCTGGATGACTCAAATTCATGTTCCTCGAATGGGTTCAAGTCATTTCCAAGAACAACCTGCCAGGATTCTAGCATCCGGAATCTCATCGAAACCGATCTCAACTCGAGCCATGCAAAGCCAAGCTGTGCACAGAGACTTCAAAGGAGCCGATCAAAAGCTGCTTCAACAACAATCTCAACATTCCAGGCAATGATCAAGGCTGTCAGAAACATCCATTTCACTTCAGTTAAATCTCCTTTGATCCTGCCTAGAAGCCTTTCACGTAAACTGTCAAAAAAGAATTCACAGAAAGAAACTGAAACCAGAACTACCGTGAGAGTTAAAGATATCATACGGTGGAAATCATTCCGTGATTTGGTCGAGGAAAAACCTCCTCCATCAGATTTCGCTTCTTCGCCTCATCATTGCACCGCCAGGTCCACCACAACCACCACAACGACGGGGTCCAAGAGTACTCCTTGCACTAGCAACTGCTCAAGCTGGTGTGACAGCGATTTTACCTCGGAATATTTACCCTCCGAGGAGCACCACGAACGTGAAGTCGACGTGGGTAAAAAATTCTTACCTTGTGTCGGCAAGGATCCCATGGAGACGACAACAGGGCTAGTGGCCAACACAGCAGTGGGGCCCAATGTAAGTAACTATTCAGTGCATCGTATCTCTTATTAAAATCTTATGTGTCTGCTCATGAGGGTTCTGGATGCTTTTGTTTATGTTACCAGCCGGTGATAGTGTTGTCTTTTAGTTAAATTTTGTTTTGACTTTGTCTTTGCCGAATAGTACTCCATTGTCTGTTTTGGGTATATAAGCCACATGCCTTTGTTTAATGCATTGGATTTGTCTTTTTTGAAGACAGCGTATAACGTAATTGAGGTACATAAAGACAAAACAGAAGCAATTAGAGTTGAGATTAAGTATAATAATAACTAAATTTCTTTTGAGTTGAGATGTAGAAACACTAAGTTGGAACTTGGAAACTTCCTCACTGGATTTTGATATACTTTGATCGCATCACATTGAAGAAAAAGCATAGGTTTATTAGTAACACATTCCCCAATGCTTATTTTTGTTTCCTTTGAATTAATGTCATGAGCATCATCAGCAGGGGAGGAAGAATGCAAGTGAAGAGAAAGAACAGAACAGCCCACTTTCGGTGCTTGATTTCGAGTATGAAGAAGATGATGAAGAGTCATTATCCTCTTTCAATCGAAGCCTGGCCACTGTGGAGAGTATGTTCTGGTCTCTTCTCTTTATTTTGTTGCTCATATTCCTTAAATACATTAAGGTTCATTTGCAGCTAACTAGTTTTGTATTGTTACCAGGGAAAAGGCAACAGCTTATGCAAAACATCGAGCGTTTCGAGAGTCTAGCAAAATTGGAACCTGTCAACCTAGAAAAATGGATGTCCTTGGAAGAAACGGAAGAAGAAAGTGAAGATGATGATGCAGAAGAGGAAGAAGAAACAAATGAAGTGGAAGAAAAGGCACGGCAGCTGCTGAATCATGTCAAAGAAACAAGTTTACGAAAGAGCTATAGATATATCAGTATCGACAAACTGCTTTTGGATCTATTTAGAGAAGAATTAGCTACAAAGTGGAATGAAACAAGAAAAGAAGAGCTTGAACATGATATGATTAGGCAAGCAAAAGCATGGATCAATGGAGAACAGAACGAGACTGCAAAATGGAGAGTATGGGAAAAAAGAGAGGCTTATGTTAGAGATATGGACAGAGAAGGAAAGTGGAGCAAGTTTGAGGAAGAGCAAGAAGAGTTGGCCTTGGAAGTTGAGAGTAGGGTGATGAATATTTTGGTGGATGAACTACTAGTTGATCTCCTTTATTTCTCACCATAAAGCCAAAGGTGAATTTCATACGTTTTTCAGCTACCAATTCAGCCCATGGGACACCCAGAGAGAAGAGTTGCCCGGAGCACGGGTCCTGCTCGTTTTGTTACCATCTGATGAAAGATTGAGAAAGAGCAGGAATCTGTTGTTAGCTATGGGCAATGTCCATGATATCAAGAGGCAAAGAATTGAGTAAAAATGAGTTTCCCAGCAAACTATACTAGAGTTTGAGGCCTTGTAAGGTTGGGAAGAAGAAGCCCATGTTGGCATACCTCATGCCTTTTTTAGATGGATCCTGTAGCCTCAGAAATCAGAATATATGATAAAATGTTGTAGAAAGAAAATAAATAACATGTACTGCTGTCATATTTTAGTAGAGATGTCACTATGGACTTGTTAGGCTCATTCGACCCAAAACATTGTAGGTTGGGAAAACATGACTTAGGTCGGGTCAATTTATTTTTTACATGAGCCATTAAAACCTTAAATGCAACTCACCCTTCACCAGCTCATACCAGACCATGGGTCGGGCTAGGTTAATTTATTTTTTTATAAAAGATATTATTTTTACAATTTGACTTAATAAACTTGTTATTAGTAAGATTATTTCATGATTTAATCAATAATTAATAATAAAAATATGTTACAAATAAATAAATTATACAAATAATAAGTAAATAAATTATGTCAAATATAAATAAACTTTTATTTTTAATATAAACTACAATTTCATAAATATAAGTATATAACCAAATAAATAAAAACTTTAAAACTCATTTATATCTCCTTCAAAGCATTTGAATCTTATTTGAATAATAATGACGTCTTAAGGTTTGAATCATTTATCTAATATCATTGCATAAAAAAAAGAGATAGTAAGTTCAATCTCAATTAAATTATTAACTTAACAAGTAATATAAATAAATTAAAATATATAAATAATATATTTAGTAATTAAATTATTAAATTTATATAACTAAATATATAAAATTATTAAATTAACTAAAATTATTAATTTTTTTTCTTTAGACAAGCAAACTCACACCAACTTAAGACAATCCAATAATCAAATGGGTTGACCCATTTAGACCCAATTTTAATTTGAGTCTGAATTTTTAAGTCTCAATTCATCCCATTTTCACTACAATTGGATCAACCCAATGGATCAAATCCATTTTGACTAATCTATATTTCAGTGAATTTATATCATTAATATTTGTATTTAAAAGAGAGCATCCAAAAACATAGATGTTAATCGTACATAGTGTACGAATACAATAGAACGGCAATCATCCAATGAGCCCACAAATTGCTTGAATTGATGGCTTTGTCATGAACCATGAAGGGCAATACGAATGAAAATTGTTAACAACTAACAACGAATGGGCTTCCACAATCTTGGCTTAATTCAATAAGTAAAACCAGTCCACTTTTTGGGGCAAACATAATCCCTTTGGGACTTTATATAAAAATAGAAAGAGATGGGTCTCAACAAACTTTTCCAGATTAGATTCAAAGTGGGTTCGGAAGCCACCCAAGGAGGGCCTCTCCGCCAATGCCTAACTAATCTATGATCATATAGCATTCTTTGGTCCTTGGGCCTCCGAAGTAGACATGAATACCCACACCGATCATAGCAAGGAATCGGACTAGGTATGTTTGTCATGAGAAAAGTGTCTTTATCTCACATGGAACAGGAACAAAAAATTTTAAGCTCCTTATAAATAGATGTACTGCACATACCTATAAACGTGTTTATAAAAGAGAAGAGAATAACGGACTCTCCAATACTCTTGAGACACGCCAAGCGCCCGACGGATCGAGGTAGGCAGGATTGAGGCCAATGGGCCCAATGAGAGCCGTTGAGAGCGATGCTGCACATCCTTTTAAGCGTGTTTATGAGAGAAAGGGTAATGACCAATGTCGTACACATGAGATCGGAATGAATCAAAGAGTGAGTTTTTGATTGGACAGATCCATGCCATTAATAACCAGTAGCCTAACACGTACTCTCGTAAAGACCGACAACGACAAGCCTTATCTTCTGGTAGGTTTTCTCTGCGCATACATACTGTACTTTAAAGCCTCTATCAATTTATATATGTACTGCCCATATTCAAGCTAAGCAAACGCACAAAAACAAAAGGGTAAAAAATGCTGCAGTATGGGAGTCTTGAAGCAGCGGAGTTGGCTCTGGGGAGAAACCTAACGCTGCCAGAGAAATTGTGGTATAGTTACTCAGCAGAGAAATCAGACTACTTGTTGTATAACCACAATTGCCTTTTCTTGTTCTTGGTGTTCTCCTTGGTTCCTCTCCCATGTGTGTTGGTTGAACTTTTTTGGTTCAACAACATGAACAAGTTCAAGCTTCAACCCAGAATCAGAAGATCGTTTTCAGAGTTGTTTAAATGCTATAAAGATGTTATTCTCAACAAGTTCATTCTTCTTGCCGCTCCTCTCATTGCTGTTTCCTTCCCTGCCCTAAAGGTACGTCGATCTAACAAAGGCATATATAGATATTTGAGGGAAAGTGCAGGGTGGTTTTAGTTTGTTTTGTATGGTGCTCACCACTCAGATCAGATCAGGAGGAAAAGGTTTGAAAATCTATGCAGGCTTTCGATCCTTAATTATCTTTTTCTCGTTTCCGTTTTCAAGTCAACATATATAAACTACTCTTCATTGTCTTTGGATCAAGAATTATTTGGGTGATACTGTTAACTAAAGTAGCAAGCATTGGGGCCAATAGATAGCATCGACCGGTTTGTTCTGCTGCAACAACGGCAGATGTCAACAAGTGCAGATCTCATGTCCTGTGCTAGGCCAAAGAGGAAAAGACTTAACTCATGTCGTTATTTACCTTTTCACTTGCCATTCAACAGGGGCGGAGGGTCATGTCTCTTTGTGGGGGCCAAAATTTTTTATTTTTTTATTTATTATATATTTTAAAATTTTTATTTATTATATATATCTTTTAAATGATTTTTTAAAATAATTTTTATTTAATAATTAATATAAATAATAAATTGACATTACAAACCTTATTTAATTTTTTCTTAATTTTTAAATTTCTCTCCACATATTTCTCTCTCTTTCTTTTTCTTTTTTTTTTTATTTTTTATTTTTACTTTAGTTTCTTCTATCTAACTCGATACTGAAACATATTTTAATTTTTAAAAAAGATTCATAAACTTACGATTTTAGAGAAAGAAAAGTGAGACTACTCACTACAATAGTATAAAATTAAGAAAAAATAAAGATTTTTTTTATTTTTTTATTAATATTATTTAATTATTTACATATTTAATTATTTTATGAATTCTTATATATAGTATTTAATTTTTTATACTTTATGCTTTGTAATTTTATATTTAGTATTTTAAGTTTAAATAAACAAATATTAAATATTAGATATTGATTGTATTAATTTTTTTAAGTTTGATTAAAGTATTAGTAAGTTGAAAATAATTGATAAATTTTTTAAAATAAAAAATATAAATCATCAAATTAATTTTCTTGTAAATGAGTTATCAAGTCATCCGATATTAATTTTAAAAAAATTATTGATTAAATTCAACATATTAATTTTAAACAATCGCATATTAAACACTATAGTGACATACAAACAATTAAATCGTAGACCATAGACAATTTGGCTGATGTCACTTTCAAACAAAAGACATAGCCCAAGGCTCCTCTTACCACTAGTAAATACAATTAAAACATAATTAGTTGCTTAATCTAGGCTTTAATGAGTTCCGTCCTACACTAATCCATATATATACAAGGGATGGTGACATGTCCATACTTATAACAAGTAATAAGATTGTACTTAAATTTCAACAATTAATGTCATCATATGGGAAGCCACTATATAATTTTTTTTTATAAATCATATCTTTTTTATTTAGATAAACTTTATTGACATCTCTTATGTTTTTAACTTTTTTTCTCAAGTAATACCATATAGATAATTTATATTTTCACAATAAAAAAATTTAATTTTTATTTCTCTTCATCATTATTGATCTTTCAATAAAAGTTGACTAACATGGCTCCTACTATTCAATGTTTCTTCTTTGTTTTCATGTTGACAGTGGGTTAGGATCCGTTACCCTACAAGCTTGCCATTGCCATCAAAATGGGAGGTGATAAGCCAATTGCTGGTGTATTTTCTTATCGAGGACTACGGAAACTACTGGCTTCATCGGTTGCTGCATACCAAATGGGGCTTCGAAAATATCCACTATATGCACCATGAATACCATGCTCCCATCGGGTTTGCAGCACCTTACGCCCACTGGGCAGAAATTCTGATTTTGGCAATCCCGACGTTTCTGGGTCCCGCCATGGTTCCATGTCATATGGTCACTTTGTGGCTCTGGACGGTTCTGCGGCAGGCTGAGGCCATTGAGACCCATAGCGGGTATATATTTGCTACTTTTTCGGTTGGTGTATTAAGCCTGAAATAGAATCGATTTTTCAACCAAGTAATACCTAAATTTTTTTTTAAAATTATCTAAGAATTTTTTTAAAAAAATTATCCATTTAATAAAATTTTTATATTTTTATTTTAAATTAAATAAATTATATAATAACATAATCACCAAATATTTTTTAACTCTTTTAAATATAAAATAATAAATGATATTTTGATCAATAGTTATTATGAAAACTTATTTAATATAAAATAAAAGCATGCAAAAATTAAATTTAACGTAACAAAAAATTTTATTTCATTTTTAAAATAATTTATAATTTTTTTAATTGATGTTATTGTACCAAATCGAATAGGTTTTGAATAGATTTTTTCAAAATTGAGATATTATTATATTAATTGATCATTAATTTTATTTAATATTTAAATTTAAAATATTTTTAATATTGTTTTAAAAGATACAATTTAAATGAGTTAATATGTAAATTTTAAAATGCTTTTAATATTTATGTAGGTTCGACTTCCCATGGAGCCCTACCAAATTCATCCCCTTTTATGGAGGTGCAGAGTATCACGATTATCATCACTCCGTAGGAGGACAAAGCCAAAGCAATTTTGCATCTATCTTCACCTACTGTGATTATATTTATGGTACTGACAAGGTAGTATTCAATCCACTAAAACTACATTTACATTTATCTTTTAACAATGTTACCAAAAAAACCATTTCTTTTATTCTTATACACTTTTTCGTAATTTGTCATAGAAAAAAGCTTTTAATTTTTTTTTTTACATGTATAGTCAATTTATCTTTTAATTTGTACTAATATAGGGTTATCGTCATCACAAACAAGTCGTTAAAAAGGTACGTGCACATATATACATGAAAGTGAAAAATTTACATTTTATGTGAATATAAATGAATTAATTATGAGAAGAGTAGATTGAGTAAATTATTCTCTTTTTCTTTTTCTCTAAAATTTAGTATTTAATTTATTTTTGGTGTAGCTTAAGGACAAGAAGCACCAGGGATGAACAGATGGAAGTGGGTAGAGCACAAAATCCCAATCGCAGACCTCAAAGGGAATTAGCTGTGCGTAGTTAGTACTGGAGGTGAAGAATAATGGAAAATAAACATAAATGAATTACTATTAGGTTGTATTTGAGAACTTTAAATTAAGAAATTAAGTTGTATTTTAAATCTAGTATACATTATGTGATATAGTATATATATACTCTTTTTAAAATAATAAATTTTTAAAATTTATTAATCTCTATTTAGTGATAAATTTGAAATGTTTATATGATTTTGTGAATTATAAGTTCATTTTCTTATACTCCTTTTTATACACATATATATATTGAATCTTAATTAATTTTTATATAATGTGAAGATAAAGCATTTCCTTCTCGCAATTTATATTTATGAAATGATATTAAAAAATATTCATTGAAATTTAAACTATACCAAAAATGAATTATTCAAAGAGCAAACAAAACAAACCGATCCAAGTAATTACGTCATGAGCCATAAACGAATCTTGATCCCTCAAATTTCTGTATCCATGCATTTTGTTCAATTTAATTTTTACACTTAAAATCAAAATAATTTTATTTTATTTTATTTTCGAATGATATATAATTTGATCATTAAAAATAATGATACCCGATATATAATGCTAACGTGATAAATAAAAATAACTCAAATTAATGAGATGACGTAAGATTATAAAAAATATAAAGAGAATATTTAATAAAGTAACAATAATGCTGCGCATAAAATATCAAATGTGAATTAAATAAACCTTTTCTCGTATAAAGCAATGCGATTAATTTGTGTGCCTAGAAATTAGGCTACGCAAAGTCTTAAAGTTGTGTGCCTAGAAATTAGGCTACGCAAAGTCTTAAGGTTTGTCCAATCTTGTTGCTACCAACCTTTCACCCAACATATTTTCGTCATTTCATTTTACTTTTTATACTTTTTCAATAATAAAAATAACTCAAGTTAATGAGATGATGTAAAATTATAACAAATATCAAGAGAATATTTAATAAAGTAACAATAATGCTGCGCATAAAATGTCAAATGTGAATTAAATAAACCTTTTCTCGTATAAAGCAATGCGA